CTGCCCCTAAACCATGATCCCTTTGCACCCCCCTAAAACTATTGCCCCTTTGCCCCCTGACCCAGATCCATAGCCCTATTGCACCCCCATGCAAAGCCATGACTCCTATGCACATGCCCACCTGCCCAAGAGCCATTATCCTTTCACCCCTGCAAACCATGGCCCCTTTGCAACCCATACAAAGCCATTACCCTCCTACCTCCCCCTCCCTGAAATCATGTTCCCTTTGTACCCTCAAACCCATCACCCCTTTACACCCCCCCAATCCATTGAGAAAATATCTCGCCTTCAACCTACTCTCCAACCACTTGTTTTCCCCCTTTCCCCTGCAACTTTCCTCTTTTTTCCCCTCCTCCCCAGCTACTGCGGCTATTTTCGCCTGACACAGGTAAAGCCACCCTGCCGTGGGCAGGCCTGGAGCCGCCAGCTGCACCGGGACAAGCGGGTGTGTGTCAAGTGCCGGGGAAACACATCCCACCGCCGTCCACATTGCACGGGACATGGGCTGCAAGGAGCCAGGTAGGGCAATTCGTGAGGGGGGAGATGGGGCAACTACAAAGGAACATCTCACCCTCCCACGGAGGAGCATCTTCTTAATGCTTCTTAATTTAGAATTCTTAATTATAAATATAATATATAAAAAGCTAATACTGCGCCACAATAGTATAATATTACACTGTGCCATAATATTATACCATATTATTATTGATTTTTCTCACACTATTATGGTATTTGGGCTATAAATCAATAATATATAACTAATATAGAAGATATATTTCAGTTAGAAGAGACCTTCAATGATCACCTAGTTCAACTGCCAATATATAATATTATATATAACCATATATAATTTAAAAAAAAATCTTGAATTATTCATGGCATGCCACAGCTCTCACTGGCTTTCCCTTTCAGGACATTTTGGGTAGCTGCTTCCGTGGCAGGGTGCCAGGGCTTGTGGGTGCAGGAGGGGCTGCAGGAGGTTTGTGTCTGCCCCCCACCAGCTCTCATCTTTGTGTAGCATTGCACCCAGAAGGTGAGGTGAGCCCTCCCCACCACTGCTCCTTGCTGGGGAGGGAGAATGAAATAAAAACATGGTGTCTTTTTTAATTTCAGCCTTCTGCAGGCTTGCTGCTCGCCCTCAGAACTGACTCCCTGTGTTCGCCATTAAGTATTTTTGGTTGAAGAATGGGAACCCTGCTTATAAAGATTAAAAATAAGGGAATTGCTAGAGTATGGTAATTAATGGAGGAAGAATATAATGCTGAGGTGAAATCTGGGTGAGATGATGACGCAGCAGTGACATGGGGGGACTACGTGATGATGTTATGCTCCATTGTGACCTCATGCCATGCAACGAGCTGCCATTGGGGAGCTACATGAGGGTGTAGGAGCATCCTCCCTCTGTGTGTTCTGGCTGGCTGAGCTGCAGAGCGCCATGGGTTGAGCTGTGAAGGGCAGCTTAGCTGTGTGTGGTGGTTTGCAGAGAGAAATTAAACGTAGGCACCTTAAAGACTTCATGTGGGCAATGATGCTGGTGGGCGTCCAGGTTCAGCTGCAGGCCTCAGCCGCCCCCACTGGAGGGAGTGGGGATGGGCTGGGTGATGCTGGGCTGTAATGCCATTGCCTGGCATGATGTGACCTTGCTGGTAAGCCCCCTGGTCCGGCCTTGGCGGGTGTTACAGCCAAGACGCTGTGCCAGTTGCTTCAGCACCTGCCTGCACCCCCAAACCATTCCCTGGGTGACTTCACCCTCACCCCTGCCAAGCACAGCACCTCCTCCTGCAGAGATCACCTGTATTCAGACATGGCTGCCTGCAGTGAATGGTGGTGTCCGAGCCCTACGCTGCCACAGCTGAGAAATGTGGGGAGCTCTGAGCCATTAAGCACCCCCATGGAACTGGAGTGAATGGGCCAGAGGAGACAGGGGTGGCGGCAGAGGGCTGCTATGCCTGCACCATGAGTACCTATCCATGAGCCTTAGGGGCATGACCCACCATACCAGGACTGGCCCATGCCGGGCTGGCTGAGAGCCCCTTGGCAGGCAGCAGAGAGCCCAAGGTCGGTGCAGCTCCTGGTCTGGGAAAGGAGGTGGGAGGAAGAAGGCGGCTCATGGCATTGTCCTCATCCCATGGGACCCTGGCTGCTGGTGGCCTGCCAGTGGCTATGCCAGGGAGGAGCAGCGGGCTGTCCCCGTCCCTGCAGAGGGAAGTGTGCCTAGCCCATAGACCTAGGCACCCTCCAAGCCCCGTTGTAAAGGTGGCAAGCAGGGCCTGGAATAAACTTGATGCTCACTTAAAGTGGGCGCCTCCTCTGCTTGGCCCCCACACCCTCCCTTGGCCCCACAACCCACCTGTTTGCTGGAGAGGTTCCTGGGCACCATCTCTGGCAGCGGGGGAGGGCCAAAACCCTCCAAATTTGGGGCTCTTGGGAAAGCTAAATCTGCCTCTATTTGTGCTGCCTGAAAGAAAATAAACCTCCATTCTCATGCCCAAAATCAAAAGCCAGCAATTTTTATGTTGTGGAAAAGCGCTGAAAAAAACCCCAAATGGAATAATATAGAAAATTTCCTAATTTTGGGAAAACATGCCTGAGCTCCAGCATTGGCTTCTGCTCACCAGCTGGCAGCAGCGAGGGCACTGACGTGCGCTGTACTGTACATGCGCAGCTCTGCAGGTGCAGTGTGGCCTTTCCTCGCAAGGACACAGCAGCGAGCACAGTAGGACTGTGCACTGGGTGTACTGGTGGTCCCAGCTCAAGACTTTTCCACTAAAGGCCGGTACTGCAGCTGGGGTGACATCTGCTGTCCCGTCGGGCCTGTCTCCCTTGGGCCCCCCGCCTGCCCATCTCGGACCCGCCTCCTGCCTTCCCTGGCCCCCACCTAAAGCCTGCCTTGGCCTTTTCTCCTGCCCGTTTAGGCCATGCCTTCTGGCCCTCCCTGGTCTGCCTCCCCCTCCCTTCGGCCCTGCCTCTCACCCTTCTTGGCCCAGTCTCCCGCCCTGCATTGCTCCTGCCTCCTGGCCTTCCTTGGCCCCGCCGTGCACTGCCGTGGAGGTGCTGGTTCACATGCAGCCGCAGCGGCTGGTGCCCCTCGAGCTACGGGAACCTCGCATGCCCTCAAAATGCCTGGCCCCAGGGACACTGCGGAGGGACCAAGCCACGCAATGGTTTTATTTTGTGCTGTTGCACACCAATCTATAAAGTTTTTAAAGAGAAGAAGTTGGATTTGCATGTGGTGAAGCAGCTGGACCACATCAAGGTGAGCAGCGGGCGGCGGGGCATTGTGGGATCGGAGGCGGGTATCTGGGCCTAGCTCTCTGCAGGCTCTCTTCAGCCTGAGGGGGTTTGGGGTGCGGAGAAAGAAAGGCCAGAACAGTGATAAGAAAGCGGGGCCTAGGCCGTGCCAGTGCTGCCCCGCAGAGATGCAGGGCCAGTCTCTCCAAAGTTTCCCAGAGTTCCCTGAAACTGCCCGTGGGGCCCTGAGGGTGCCAGGCTGTGGGGTGGCTGCCACTACCCCTGCCCTTCAGCATGGCCCAGGGAGGCTGCAGAAGGAGTGGGGAAGCAGCTGATTTGGGGCCCGACACAGAGACTAGGTCTTGTGCTCCTGGGGCTGGCAAACAGGGTCATGTGGCTGGTTTTGAGGCTTCAGAAAGAGAGGGAGTCGTGTGGCTTTGGGCTAAGGAGCAGGGGTTGATTCTGGCGTTTTGGGGACTTGAGCAAGAGGCTTAGCAGGTGGGTTTTGGGGCTCAGAAAGAGGCACTCAGTGATGTAGTTTGGGTGCAGCAGCAGAAGTCATTTTGGCTGGTTTTGCAGAGGGGGGGCAGGAGGGCATTGGGGGCTGCAGGGGAAAGCAGGGCATGGACGGGGTGCAGGGAGGCCTCCGGAGGCAGAGGGTCTGGTCACATTGGACCCTGAAGTTTGGGAGGCTGGCACGCACCTGCCTGAACTCGACATCTGAGGTGGTCTGTGGGGGGGAAAGGCACTTTTCAGACCCTGCATGCCCTCTTCGAGTCTAGCTCTTCTTTGTACATTGCTTAGGATAGTTATTAAGTAATTAGTTGTACAACCTAGTTAACGTTTATACCACCTATAGCGGTGATGTTTAATCGTAATGCTTGAGATCCGGCAGTGATTGACTGACAATGTAGTTGAAAGCCCAGACCAGTGCAAACAGCTGTAGCTTGCGGAGAGAAGGAGCTGAAATGGACTGGTGCAGAGCCTGGGCTTGGATTAGAGGTGTGGCAAGCAGGAGGTGCAGCGAGATGGAGTGCCCGCTGCCTGGAGCGTGCATTAGCTGGAGGCAAGGCTGCTAGCAGTAGTAGGGAGTGGGAGCTGCCATGAGCTGGAGCATTTTTTATTAGCATGTGGTGTCAGTGTAGTTTATTTTTGAGCACTTTAATGCCAGTAGAAACATAGTGAATGAAACACAATGGAAATGGATGTGTCACTTGATTTTTATTCTTTTATTTTTATTTTTTTTTTAATTCAAGTAGTGATGTCATGTTTTTCTATGGCTCTGTCTACATTGTTCCATGGAGCCTTCAGTCTAGGACTTTTAAGTAAAAATGGTTTGTTGTTCCAGGAAAGGACCAGTCCTTCCTAGAGCTGAGATGTAGACTTGGAGGGTCTCTTAAGGACATGATCAGAGTGAAAGCCAAATTTCAGCCAACATTGCTGCTACTGTTCTTCACTTTTGTTAATGCCCCCACAGCTCTCTCATGGGTGGGAGCTCTGATTCACAATCTTTTTTCAGTCTCTAACACATTTTTTTTCCCTAAGGAGACAATACGTTTAAAAGTTACTGAGTTTCCTCCCAGATGTGCCAGTGACTACCATTGAGTTACAATTATTAAAAGCACAAAAGGGGCACACTCTTAGAGATGGGGACTATTTCTGGACACGCGTTAATCCCGTGCAGGTATTCTCAGGATACAGATTGCCTGTGCTTCCTGCTCTGACAAGACAGCATGCTGACTGGGATGAGCCCCTGAAGACAAAAAAGAGGCCAGGTGCTGGGGTTTTTGTTTCTTTGTTTGTTTGTTTTGTGGGGATGGGGGCATGTGGTTTCCAAAACAGGGTGGGAGGTTGACTGCAGGTGGCAGCCTGCAGAGCTCTTTCGCTGCCTGACCTCACCTTTTCTTTTTCACTCCTCTTTCATGGCATCTGTGCTAAAAGCAGTCGAGGTCAAAGAAGAGACGTGGACAAAACGGGACGAACTTGCGCCACTTCTGCCTGTTTTCCAGGCTTTGCCACAAAGCAAGGAGCATCAGCAGCCTTGTCACTGGTAACTGTGAGTCCTGATGTGGTTTTGGAGAGTCAAACCTTCCAGGAACGTCCTTTGTCTGTAGCCTGCAGCATGTCATTTGGACATCAGTCGGAAGGAGATTTTCCTAAAGGGAACGGGTTTCTCATTCCAAGCAGTTGCCTTTTCTGAAGTTCCCACGATAAGCGGATCCTCGGGGATGATGCGCTGGGCAGCGGAAGTCATCAGCAATGAGACGTTGCGCAGTCTATTAAATAAGGAAAAAAAAAAAAAAAGCCCTTCTAAAGGCCCAAGCGCAGCACATCTTCCAACAGCCAATGGCATGGCCCGTCTTTGGGCTCTGGGTTGTAATAGTGGAGATACGGCAAAACCCTGTTCCTCTGTGTTCAGCAAGGCCAAAAGCATTGGCCAGTCTGCCAGTCCTTTTTGATAGCCTGATGGATTGCAGCACCAGGGATTTGTTTTCCCCCAGCCAAAAGTACAGCTCTTTGGGGATCTTTTATCTTGCTGGTTGTTGCTATCATAAAGGAGACTTTAAAAAAAAAAGAAAGAGTTAAAGTTGTATAATGTACACTGACTTGCATGGTTTAAACAGCAACCGTCCAATGGCTGTAGCATACAATGTCTTAGGCATACCTAAGCGATGAGGTATTTGTTCTAAATCTTTAAAAAGAGAGGCAACGGAAGGTAATGGGTGGGTTTTTTTGTTTATTTTTTTCCCCTGCTCTTTAGGTGTAGTGCTCTGAAGTACTTGATTTCTGCCTGGCTTTCAGCAGCCTGTTTCCCCAGCAGTGCGGTAGCATCTCTCCTGGGCAGTGCTGCCAGTCTAATGTCCCTCCTCCTTGGGTAGGGCAAAAGCCCTGGTCAAATGATAACTGTGTGTTTTGGAGATGGAGAGTGCAATGGTGTTGGTTCAGAGCTGTGCCAGTTAAATTAGTGCTAAAGAAAAAGTCAAACACTTTTATAGCGTATTTTTATTGACCGTATCAAAATGCATGCAGAGCTTTCCAGTGTCAGGGAACAGGAAGGGAGGAGGGGCTTTCCCCCAGCGGGCAGAGGGTTTGTTATGCTGTTAGCCTGAGAAGGTGTTCCAGGTGGCATCGGTCAGTCTTAATAGGGGCTTGAAGTGTCACGATGGCTCCGGTTTTGGCAGGCTTGTGCCATCTTTGGAGTGGAGCTGTTTCCCTGGAATCCTGCTGTAGCTCAGCTCCTGTCCTGTCACTCAGTCTGAGGGAATTCCTCTACTCTCTTCTGTGCTGTCTTGTTTGTTGACGCTGAACTATAGTTGGGGATTGTTGTTTTGCAGGTGCCTTGTGGTATGCCTCTTGTGCTGCTCGATAGATGCCCCAGCCCAGGTTTGCAGCCGGTGGTGGAGCTGCTGGAGGGAAAGTAACCAGCCCTGGGTCTGGTCGTTTGGTGCTGTCTTTTTGGGGTGAATAAAAAGAAGGGGTATTTGGGGAGTGATGTAATTTGGTCCACCCCAGTGTCTCCGAAGGGGGTGATGATGCGGCGGAGGAACAGGTGAGTTGGGTATGTGGGGTCACATGGGGTTCCCACCAAAAGAGGTGGGTCACAGCCCCAAAATGTCTGAAAAGTCAGTAAAAGGGGTATTAAAAAATAAAACCTGTGAATATGAGTGTGAGGTGTTGAAATAGAGAACAATCTCATTTATATATAGGTGGAAAAATAATATTTATGTATATAAAAGGAGTTCAGAACAAAGCCCTATATCTCTAAGGATTCTATGATTCTGTGATTCTAGATTATAAAAATGATCTTACAAGAATATTTAAAAAATATTTATAAAAACAGTGTCAAAATAGATGTCTAAGCAGATAGTTTAAGTAGATATTCTACATAATAAGTGTTAATGTGTATATTAATGTCAATGTGTCTCAGTCTAAGCCTAAACAGATACTCTCTTTTTTCACTTAAATGGAATATCTTTTCCCTAAATCTGTATATATATGTGTAAATGGATACAGAGGGTTTTAGCATTTCTGAAGAAAGCAGCAGGGATGTAAGGCATAATGTCTTTCAGGGTATGGGATGACTCGTCACCTTTCCCCGTTGCCCACAGAGAACCATGGTGTCCCTAGAGCTTTTGCAGGTTGCGGCAGCCCCTCAGATTGTGTCAGGGCATCGCTTATTTTGTGGGTCTGTATCAGAGCCCAGAATCCGTGGTAAGGCAGAAGATGAGAGGTGCCCACAGAGTGCAGGACATGACTTGAAAGAGCAGCTCCCAAGGAGCAGCTGATGCAGGACCTTCAGGGTTCAAACACAAGATTGGCAGTGGCAGGAAGAAGTGGGGTTCCTTCCTTAACAATTCAGGAGACAGGGTTTTCTAAAGCTTTGGGACTGGGGGAGGGCTAGGAAAGGGTGGTAGGTTCGTTAGTCTTTCTTATATGGGCTTAGCAGTTGGATTTAGGTGATGAGGTCTGGTGTGTTCTAGTCTCCTGCATTTGAGGTGAGCCAGGTACTATTCACGGATTTGACAGAGTTGGAAGGGACCTCTAGAAATCATCTAGTCCAACTCCCCTGCTAAGTAGGTTTACATAGAGAACATAACTCAGGACTGCATCAAGGTGGGTCTTGAAAATCTCCAGGGAAGGGGACTCCACGCCCTCTTGTGGCAGCCTGTTCCAGTGCTCTGTCATCCTCACCATAAAGAAGTTCTTTTCATATTTGAGTGGAACTTCCTATGTTCCAGCTTATGCCCGTTGTCCCACTGGGGACATGGAGGGGGACGTTTGGGACGCGGGGGGGGCGTCCTCGAGGTGACATTGGGGGGCCAATTGGGGACACTGACCTGCCTTGGCCTTTCCTCCTGCCCGTTTAGGCCATGCCTTCTGGCCCTCCCTGGTCTGCCTCCCCCTCCCTTCGGCCCTGCCTCTCACCCTTCTTGGCCCAGTCTCCCGCCCTGCATTGCTCCTGCCTCCTGGCCTTCCTTGGCCCCGCCGTGCACTGCCGTGGAGGTGCTGGTTCACATGCAGCCGCAGCGGCTGGTGCCCCTCGAGCTACGGGAACCTCGCATGCCCTCAAAATGCCTGGCCCCAGGGACACTGCGGAGGGACCAAGCCACGCAATGGTTTTATTTTGTGCTGTTGCACACCAATCTATAAAGTTTTTAAAGAGAAGAAGTTGGATTTGCATGTGGTGAAGCAGCTGGACCACATCAAGGTGAGCAGCGGGCGGCGGGGCATTGTGGGATCGGAGGCGGGTATCTGGGCCTAGCTCTCTGCAGGCTCTCTTCAGCCTGAGGGGGTTTGGGGTGCGGAGAAAGAAAGGCCAGAACAGTGATAAGAAAGCGGGGCCTAGGCCGTGCCAGTGCTGCCCCGCAGAGATGCAGGGCCAGTCTCTCCAAAGTTTCCCAGAGTTCCCTGAAACTGCCCGTGGGGCCCTGAGGGTGCCAGGCTGTGGGGTGGCTGCCACTACCCCTGCCCTTCAGCATGGCCCAGGGAGGCTGCAGAAGGAGTGGGGAAGCAGCTGATTTGGGGCCCGACACAGAGACTAGGTCTTGTGCTCCTGGGGCTGGCAAACAGGGTCATGTGGCTGGTTTTGAGGCTTCAGAAAGAGAGGGAGTCGTGTGGCTTTGGGCTAAGGAGCAGGGGTTGATTCTGGCGTTTTGGGGACTTGAGCAAGAGGCTTAGCAGGTGGGTTTTGGGGCTCAGAAAGAGGCACTCAGTGATGTAGTTTGGGTGCAGCAGCAGAAGTCATTTTGGCTGGTTTTGCAGAGGGGGGGCAGGAGGGCATTGGGGGCTGCAGGGGAAAGCAGGGCATGGACGGGGTGCAGGGAGGCCTCCGGAGGCAGAGGGTCTGGTCACATTGGACCCTGAAGTTTGGGAGGCTGGCACGCACCTGCCTGAACTCGACATCTGAGGTGGTCTGTGGGGGGGAAAGGCACTTTTCAGACCCTGCATGCCCTCTTCGAGTCTAGCTCTTCTTTGTACATTGCTTAGGATAGTTATTAAGTAATTAGTTGTACAACCTAGTTAACGTTTATACCACCTATAGCGGTGATGTTTAATCGTAATGCTTGAGATCCGGCAGTGATTGACTGACAATGTAGTTGAAAGCCCAGACCAGTGCAAACAGCTGTAGCTTGCGGAGAGAAGGAGCTGAAATGGACTGGTGCAGAGCCTGGGCTTGGATTAGAGGTGTGGCAAGCAGGAGGTGCAGCGAGATGGAGTGCCCGCTGCCTGGAGCGTGCATTAGCTGGAGGCAAGGCTGCTAGCAGTAGTAGGGAGTGGGAGCTGCCATGAGCTGGAGCATTTTTTATTAGCATGTGGTGTCAGTGTAGTTTATTTTTGAGCACTTTAATGCCAGTAGAAACATAGTGAATGAAACACAATGGAAATGGATGTGTCACTTGATTTTTATTCTTTTATTTTTATTTTTTTTTTAATTCAAGTAGTGATGTCATGTTTTTCTATGGCTCTGTCTACATTGTTCCATGGAGCCTTCAGTCTAGGACTTTTAAGTAAAAATGGTTTGTTGTTCCAGGAAAGGACCAGTCCTTCCTAGAGCTGAGATGTAGACTTGGAGGGTCTCTTAAGGACATGATCAGAGTGAAAGCCAAATTTCAGCCAACATTGCTGCTACTGTTCTTCACTTTTGTTAATGCCCCCACAGCTCTCTCATGGGTGGGAGCTCTGATTCACAATCTTTTTTCAGTCTCTAACACATTTTTTTTCCCTAAGGAGACAATACGTTTAAAAGTTACTGAGTTTCCTCCCAGATGTGCCAGTGACTACCATTGAGTTACAATTATTAAAAGCACAAAAGGGGCACACTCTTAGAGATGGGGACTATTTCTGGACACGCGTTAATCCCGTGCAGGTATTCTCAGGATACAGATTGCCTGTGCTTCCTGCTCTGACAAGACAGCATGCTGACTGGGATGAGCCCCTGAAGACAAAAAAGAGGCCAGGTGCTGGGGTTTTTGTTTCTTTGTTTGTTTGTTTTGTGGGGATGGGGGCATGTGGTTTCCAAAACAGGGTGGGAGGTTGACTGCAGGTGGCAGCCTGCAGAGCTCTTTCGCTGCCTGACCTCACCTTTTCTTTTTCACTCCTCTTTCATGGCATCTGTGCTAAAAGCAGTCGAGGTCAAAGAAGAGACGTGGACAAAACGGGACGAACTTGCGCCACTTCTGCCTGTTTTCCAGGCTTTGCCACAAAGCAAGGAGCATCAGCAGCCTTGTCACTGGTAACTGTGAGTCCTGATGTGGTTTTGGAGAGTCAAACCTTCCAGGAACGTCCTTTGTCTGTAGCCTGCAGCATGTCATTTGGACATCAGTCGGAAGGAGATTTTC